AGAAGAGCTGCTGTGAGCTCTAGACGAGGGATGGTCATGCGCTTGAGTGATGCTAGCTTAGTCTTCGCGCATACCAGTACTGTTGATGTCGATTCGTTGATGGTTTTGGTGCGAATATACACCACTGCACTCATGGCTACCGTTGAAGCGCCTGCAAATCCATGAATTTGGATGTTGAGTGTCTCTGTTGAAATTCTCAGCCATCTAGGTACAGTTACTCTGTCTAGGTCATTGAGATTCTCTCGGAATGTCTTCCAGCGTTGAACATACTCATCTGGAAGAGGATCATCCCATTTTAGTTTCAATCTCCAAAGATCTTGTAGGAGAATCTTTCCCTGGACGACAACTGGTGCGATAAATCCCAGTGGATCAAAAATCTGGGCTATTTCTGAAGAGACTACTCTCTTGGTGATTGTCGNATGCAGAGCCTCTGGACAATTGCTGCTCCACTTCTGTAGAGAGAAGCCTCCTGCATGGCAAAGCCCTTGTAGTTGCGTTGCGATCTCCTTGAGACCGGCTTCTGTCTCTGCACCGCCATAAATGTCGTCAACGTAACGACCTCTGGTGAGTGTCTCTACTGCTGCTGGGAAGCGGTGCCCTTCATCTTCTGCTGAAGAACACGTAACGACAACCATGGAAAACAATTTAGTCCATAGGTGACTGTCGTTAACTGGTGGGTGAATGGTTGTTGATTCTCGTCGATCCACAGGATTCTCTGAAGATCCCAGTCATCTTGGTGAACTCGTATCTGGCGGAACATCTTGATAATATCCGTGCCAAACACGAGCCTGTGCCTCCTCATCCATGTCAGGATAACCATTGCATCGTTCTGTAATTTTTCACCAGAATACAGTATATCGTTAATTGACATACCTGATGAACTGGGGCTGGAGCCATTGAATACGACTCTCAGCTTCGTTGTGATGGCCTCCTCTCTCAGTACCCCGTGATGTGGTAGATAGTAAGCTGGCACGGGTTCTGGAGTCTCTGGTGCTATTCTCATGTGCCCCAGTGCTGCGTACTCGTTGATGAACTCTCTGTACAACTGGGAGTATGCTTGATCTGTGTTGAGTCGACTCACGATCGACTTGAGTTGACGTGCTGCTTTGAATTTCGATTCTCCAAGCGCTGCTGCTGAAGTTTTGAGGGGCAGTTTCACGATGTATCGCCCGGTGTTGTCTCTGCTATGAGTTGCTCTAAAGTGCATCTCGCACTCGTACTCATCTGGTGAAAGCTCTGATGTTGATGATCTCTCGTTTGGCAGTTCTTCCTGGACCCAAAATTTCTGGAGAAGCTCTAGAAGTTGTTCATTCGAAGATTCTCGTACAGCTGATAGAGATACCTTTATTGAACAATTTGTGCATTCGATTGATCCGGATAATATCCAACCGAATACTGTGCGTTGGCCAACTACTCTCGATTGCTCTGACTTGACAACGTCATCCATGATGATCCGCCCATAGTTGTCAGCCCCTAGTATGATGTCGATTGGTCCAGGCCTGAGATAATGGGGATCGGCTAGCTGAAGATCCTCGTTGATGAGCATGACAATGACGGAATTATTGCGGTGAGCTTCTTTAGAATGTGAGCGTTGAGTTGCAGTTGATGAGTCCCACTGTTCGATTGTAGAGTGACTGAAACTATTCCTCTGGTGTATCCTGAATTAATTCCACCAATTGCCACTAGCTCCACTGTTGATGCTCTTCCCTGTAAATGCAGGTGATTAACTAATTATTCGGAGATAAATGATACCTCTGAACCCTGGTCGATGAGTGCTCTGGCTTTTGTCGTGAATCTTCTCGGTGATATTACTTTTACTCGTGCTGTTGCCAACAGCACTGACTGTTGATCTGCTTCTCCTTGATGAGTTTCGTGGTTGATGTTCTCTGCTTTCTCATTGATTATTTTGTTGTTGAAGTTCACTGCTACTGGTGGTGATGTACTGGATTCCAATGTTGAGGAATGATCAATGAGATGGTGAGTGTGCTATTGTGATTGAATTCATTCACTCACTGTTCCCGTGATCTTCTTGCTGCCTGGATGTTCCAGCAGTCTGGACGGGTTCAGCTTGAGTGCGTCTGGCTGGAGGCGGGCTCATCGTCCATGAACTCCCTCCATGGATGAGAGTGTGGTGATATCTGCTACATTTGTGGCACTTCTTTTCCGACGTGCACTTCGCCTTCGTGTGTGGCCCCAAGCAGTTGAAGCACAGCCCCTTGTTGATAACGACGTCGTTTCTCTTCGCTGGGGTGAGCTCGATGAACTTCTGACAGGATGCGATAAAATGCTTGTCCTGACAGTAAGCACAGCAGTTCCTAGGAAGTTGTCTTTCTGGCTCCTTAATTTCCTGCTGTTGAGTTGCTGCCTTATAAGTGCTCCTTTTCTTTATAGGAGCTGACTTCTTCGTAGCTGCGTTGAGTTCCTTTGATGATAGCAGCTTGGCACCTGCGTTTATCCCTCTGCCACAGGCCTCGATGAACGCCACGAACTCCTTAAGCCTCGGGAAATCCTTTGAGTCTCCCAGCTTTAGTTCCCATTGCTTGAGTGTCTCTGCATCAAGAGATCTCCTCAGTAGATGGGCTATCAGCTGTTCAGCGATGTTGTCTGTCGTCAGCCCCGTCACGTCTTGTAATTGATCTAGGGTCTCCAATGCTGCTGCTCCGTTGGCGCTGAGGTTCTCTTCTGTTGCTTAAGTGATTTTCGGCAGCGTCAGGATTCTGTTGAATAACGACTGAGCGACGAGTCTCGGGTCTTCGTACTTCCTGGTGAGTTTCTGCCAAGCCTTTTCGTAGTTTTCGTCCTTGGCCTAAAAGGTAAAGAGGAGAGCTGCTGCAGGACCTCTCAGGCATCCCTTAAGTCTCACCAATTTCTGTACTGGTGGAATTGACGTAACATTTCCCACCAGTGACAAGAAAAGGTCACAGAACTCCTTCCATTCCTCCGGTTTCCCATGGAATGGCTTGATGTCAAGACGCTTCAGCTGATTTGCCTGGCTTTGATGCGTTGAGCTGCTAATTGAGTCCTTCTTTCTTGCCAGTTGACCCTTCAGCCGAGCAATGAGCAACAGGGCTTGTCGTCTTGTCCTGGTGGCTTGTTCATGGATCATTTCGTTGACATACTCGTAATCAGGGGGAAGAAAGTCGGCTAGATTGGCATAAATTTGAAACTATTCGCTCCATTCTACCTCGATTATCCCCTTGTGCCCGTCTAATTCTTCTAGGGTGAGGTCCTTTTCGGTTTCAGCGTCCTGCGGGAGTTAATAGTCTTAATTGACCTTCCTGTTCTTGAAGCTGCAGGCGTTGATTTTCGTTGAGCGGGCTCCTTTGATCCTGACGCTCCACTTGGACTGTTGGTTTTCTCAGGAGTGGTGATTGGCTTCGTTGTAACTGCCTCATTTTTTGTTGGCAGTTCCTCTTCTTGTGTGACTTGCTCGCTTTCCTCACTATCGCTCACTGTTTGATGAGTTTCTTCCTTGGGTTCGTTGACCTTATTGTCGTCTGCTATGGTGATTGTCTGTGCTAAATTGACGGTTTAGGTGAGTTATCGGCTGTTGAATTGGGTGAGTTACCGACCGCCGAGTGAGGTGAGTTACCGATCGCCGAGTTAGGTGAGTTACCGACTGCCGAGTTTTGGTGAGTCGCCTGTTGCGTGGCGCACGTGGCCAAGCGTTGGTGAGCTTCGGCGTCACTCGTCACTCCCGAGCCTTCCCGAATTCCGACACTGACACTCTCACTTTGTCCTTTGTTACCCCGATGCCCTTGCGGGTGTAAATAAAGCGAATGTTCTGGAACTTTCCGTTGACTTGCCCGTGCGATCCCCGAAAGTTTTTTCGACACGAGGCGTCCCTTAAATTTTCCGCAGCACTTTACACACGTTTTCACCCACAATCCGGCTCGAAGGACCACTGTTTGGTGAATGTCTAGGGTTAGGGTGGATGTGGGATGAAAATGTGGAGGGAGATGTTGGGAAAATTATGGTAGGTGTTCTATAAAAAATCTCAATATATTTTCGTGGGATCGAACCACTTGTCACTTAATTTTACACTTTTCGGTATATTTACTGTTGAATGTCTAATTTTCACTGATAATTGTCTTTTCACTTATATCTCGTTGAGTCACTGAAATTATACTGAACTTACTCAACAATTTGATGTACTGAACAAAGATGTTAAATTTAGAATACTGATTGACTGAATACGCTAGCTCATTATAGTAACGATACTTTAACACTACTGACTACTGACTCTTCCAGGTGCCGCGCTGACCTATGTCCGTTGACCCGAAAGTCCACGGAGATTTTCGGAGATGCCCGAGTTAGTCGATCGTGACTAATATGGAGATTTAGGCTGTATTTCGAACAGAGTTATTAGGCACTTTGGTCTATTCCTAGTAGTTAACGAGATAATCACGGTTTAAGATTTTAGATTTATTTACTGCATTTAAAGGGACTTACACCCTATGGCAGGGGCGGGCCATTATACATAGAATAATATTACAGATAAAGATAATAAAAAATTAAAAGTTCAAGTGCAATCAGCTTAAAATTAAACAAAATATAATATAAAGTAACAGGATCAACCGTCATTTACCACAAAAATACAGCCTCAACAGCCTCACGTCGGCCTGAAAATTTACATAATTACAAAAAACGCATAAAAAAGCATAAAAAGACGTGACTATCCCTCAGATGGTTGTGATTCCGACAACAAAAATCTAGTAATCAGTTGATCAGCCCTGACTGGCTCCATGTTTCGACTCTGCAAAACCACCTCTCTAGCTCTTTGGGCATCTGATAAAAACATAAATAAAGCTCTAGTATCTGACTTATTTGGACCCTCTAGAAACTGAATAAAGCCTTGGGAGGTAATAGACTTCAGACACGGAAACAAGTATTTCACTCTAAGATCATGATAACGGGGGCAAAATTGAAGAAAGTGTTGCAAGGACTCAGGGGCCCGCGAGGCACAACAGTTACATGGACTAAAGGGATCAAATTTATAAACGTAGCCATCTGAAATAAACCTACAGTTGTGCGACTTAGCTCGGCGAAATTGCGCTTTGATTCTGGTGTACGCAATCGGACCTCTGTTCAGTAGATATATTGAAGCAGAACGCAAAACATTTCTAGCTACCGGTATCTTATGGATGCATTTGTCCCAATCAACCAGATCTTGCTCCAAAAGAGACTGTTTGAGCCTTTCAAGCATCCCATCCCTATTGCCAAACCAATCAGCGGCCTCAAAATTACCCCAAAGCTCCGGAGCCCCCCACCAATGATAAAAAATCGCAAATACGCGTGGCCCAGTTAAATTTTTTTGATTTGGCAACATCTTTGAGAGGATTAGGATCAGAAGCAAGCTCAAACATTCTCCTTAGATATATTTTTGGAAGACGATCGTCTTCCATCTCAAGAATCTTGATAATATAATTCAGAGTCGCTTTCCAGACCGCGTATTCCACTCTCAATAGTCCCGTCTCCAGCCTCAGAGCACAGCTGGGGGTGTGCTTGGGCAGAAGCAGGAGTCTTTCAACAAAGCTGAGCTGAGCTGTTTCAAGATGATCTAGGCAATTCAAGGCCCAGGCAGGCGAAGCATAGAGGAGCGTCGTCTTGATAATTCTAAGAGAATTAGAATTTAGAGAGAAAAAATTTCCGCTTCACCCAGGCGGGAATCGAACCCGGGTCTCCCAGAACAGCCTGATCATACTTGACCAAGAGTCACATTTACTGCGTGCCAAGATCGCAAAAACCGCACCACTTGCCTGCCTAGCTTTAATCACCGCCTCCTTGGCTACTAAGTAGCCGAGTGTTGAGCTACTTACAGGGACACCCAGATCCGTGTAGGAGGAAACTAAGCCCAATTCACTACCCTTGTAAAGAAAACCTTAATTCTGGACTCACTCTTCCACCTTCCCTAAAAATCATTACCTTCGTCTTGTCCGAGTTTACAGAGAGACCCAGATCTGAACAGTAGGAATCCAGAGCAATTAATATCTTTTTCAAGACCAGTTCACTCTCAACAAGTATGACCAGGTCATCAGCATACAGCAGTAACAGAACGTCAGTGATACCGTTGATATTGACACCCTTAAAACCAAGCCCACGTAAATATTTCTCAAGGTCTGCAATGTACAGAATGAACAGGAGGGGACTCAAGGACACCCCCTGGAGTACACCCGAAGAAACTGGGACGGGATCAGAGAGACGGCCACCTGCTTTAACCTGAATGGAGGCACTGTCGTAGAGCGATTTTATGATTTTCACAAATTTAGAAGAGACACCTAGATGAAACAATTTCTGCCAAAGTTTATCGTGGGGAATCGAGTCAAACGCTCTTCTGAAATCAACAAAAACTGAAAACTTTTCTGGAACCCAGGCGCAGCTGAAGCTGAGTAGCAGCCTGGAGGACAAAAATTTGATCTAAACAAGACCTTTCCGGTCGAAATCCCGCCTGACTTTCCTCCAGAATGCCTTCAGAATCAGCCCACACCTGAAGTCTGTTCCTTAACATTTGGGTAAATAATTTGGTTAGACAGTTACATAGAGCAATACCACGGTAGTTTGACGGATCAAATTTGTCGCTCTTTTTATAGAGCATAGTTAACGCTGCAGAACCCCATGACTTCGGTACAAATTCAGCCTCTAAAATCTTATTGAAAAAGACCTCCATATAAAGTATCCAATTTTCTGGTAGATTTTTAATGAATTCATTTCCAATCTCATCAGGCCCAGCGGCTTTTCCATTTTTTAAACTCAGAACATTACGACAAATTTCCTGGGAGGAGAATGGGGCATCTAGCACTGGATTAGAGCTGAGAGGAAAAAAATGTAGATTTTTAATTTGGGAGGAGTAATGCTGTCATAAAATTTATACCATTCGTCTAGAGAAATGCAAGGGACAGTATAGGCAAATTGGCGGAGTACCTTGATTGTAGACCAGAATTCTGACAGATTTCTCACATTTGCTAGGGAATTAGTAATATAATCATCATATTCACGGTTTAATGATAAACGCAATGCGAATTTGTTCCGTCATCGCCCATAAAACGTTGAATATCTCGAAAATTACTTGGACTAATTGAAAAAGTCAAAAAACTGATCTGATGTATTTTATTATAATGAACTTTTTTTGTTTCAACCATTTTTTTCTCCGTCCAACCATTTTTCTTAAAAAGACTTCGGAGCGCGTTACCGCCGCGCAATAGTGCCAGCGCGCCACTCGCTGGACTTGCATCCGCGATATCTCTGCAACCATGACAGCTATGAGGAAAAGTTATAAAACAATGTTTGAAACGCAGTCAAAATTCAGTATATCAACGGTTGACCACAGATCGGCCACTTACGAAAATCTTCGGGAAACCTCGGGTCAACGGTCAGGCCTAGTCAATCACCGAATCTCAGAGTCAGTTACAGTCAGTCGTAGAGAGTCGTAGCAACTGAGTTGAGCGAACAGTATATCATTTTTCTAAAGCTACTTTCGGTTGTCCGAACAGCGTCAGTACATCACCCGTTCGAGACATTTTGTTTTCTCAGTACATCTCCTATTTAAATTCTCAGTACAGTCTCCTATTATTCAGTATATTGTTCAGAAAATCTCCAGTGTTAAATTCAGAACAGTTTGAATCAATTTAAGGGACAATTAACAGAGTGTAACAAGTAACGCTAAGGTGGTTCGATTCCACCGAATAAATCAGTATATTTTTTATAGACTCAGTGCGTTCGTTTTTCACCGGCATTTCCACTGCCCCTTTCCCAATCCACCCTAAATTCAGTTTTCCCTCCAAACAAACAAAATATGTCCACTTTTTGATAAAGAATATTTTTTGTTTGAAACATTTTCCCCTATTGCCAACCGTTTCCACGATATTCCGTTCTAAACAATTAAATTGTTATAAACAAAGAGACTGCCCACGATTTTGCACAAACGATCATCATTCGCAATCAGCGACCTCGAAAACATAGAATCCACTAATAAAATCTAATGGACATCTCAATGTACACAGAAGTACCCCTAGCGTATGGACTATTACATGAAGCCAGGTGAACCCGGCCCATCCCAGCCAAAAAGAAATATTCACAGTACCAAGATTATGCTCTGCATTTAGTGGG